CAGAAGGCTGGCGGTTCAAACCCACCAGCCACTCCTCGGAAGGAAGATAGGGCAATCCTACTTCCATAGTGATACTGCCTCGGAAACCCAAGGAGGGGTGGCTATGAGTCGGGGCCAACTCGATGGTATATAACAACAACAACAACAACAACAATCTAAAATACAGGTTTTAACAAGGAGGGTAATTGAAACTAGGCATGGACCAAAAAACGGACCAACTCATGTTTGGTGTTTACACCAAAGATGCTGAAAGATGGTCCGTTCAGGAGCAAACAGTTGTCATAGTAGTCCTTGTGCAGAAAAGTTGATGACTTAATTTTCAGCTCCTCCACTCTGAATTTCATGCCAACTCCATTATAGTTTGCAGTCATTCCTTTGTAAGATCTTCAGTGGAAGAGCTTTCATCCTCTTTGATTTTATGAGAAGGGGTTAGCACGATGGACAGTGTTCAATATGTAGGCAATATCCTAACACACGGCCCAAGAACCAAATCATCTTCCACCTCTTGCTTGTCTTGGGCCATCCGTGTGATTTTGTAAGTGTTCAAGGGCCTTGTAAAAAAATGGATGTTGCTACTCTTGTGGTTTCCTGTTGTGGAAGCTGGCTTAAGAAACAGTCCTGTGTGGCCACACACTTACCGAATGCCCATACGTCAGACTTGCTGCTATATTTGAAGTAGTGAAACACCTCTGGGGCTGACCACTTGACCGGAAACTTTGTCCCTACTGAACTGACATACTGGTCATCAAGAACATACCTGCGGAGGAAACATCAACACAGACCTTAAGCCACATGGCGGAGCAAACTGGCAGTGGCGCAGGCTGGCAGAGGACATGGAGTCATCATGGGCTCACCGAATGTCTCTGCTCTCTGGAGCTCTTGCTCCCTCTTGAAGTGACTTTAGCTACAGGCTGCTTATGACTCAAAAGCATTTTTTAAAATGACATTTAACTTTGAAAATAGCAAGACCTGACTGCAAAAATTTGGCAACTATGTGACACAAAGATGTAAAAACAAATAAACAGAAACAACAACAAAAACCTCAGAATCGCACCCTGAAAATAACTTGTAATCCACCACACCAGGTATGTTTTTGCTTGTACTTTCCAGTCTTTTTTTTCCCCCCTATAAACAAGGAATCCTTGTTGGTGCGAATGATTGATGCGGTTGGCTGCTAACTGAAGGGTTGGAGATGTGAGTTCACCAAGAAGCACCTGGGAAGAAAGTCCTGGAGATGTTCTGAAGGATCACAGCTGTTGCAAACCCGAGGGGGCACAGTCCAATGCTGACACATACAGGTTTGCCATGAGTATGAGTTCACTCAACAGCAAGTGGCTAATTTAAACAAAAAGTTCGAGTGGCGTAGTGCCTAAAGCACTTGACTGCTAACCAGAAGACTGGCCGTTCAAACCCACCAGCTACTCCTCGGAAGGAAGGTTGGGCAATCTACTTCCACAGTGATACCACCTGGGAAACCCAAGGAGGGGTGGCTCTGAGTCGAATCGACTTGAATGGCAGTGAGTTTCAATTTTTTTTATTTGGGTTTCCGTTGGTTCGAGTTCTGCTTTTATTTTTCATTTAATGGCACATCATGAGCACTTTCCCATGTGCTTTAATTTCCATCTGCAGCATCGTATTTAATGGCTGAGCAACATTCTTTCTTATGGAGTAACATAATTTGTTTAACCATGGATTCTGCTTTGAATCTGCTGTTACATATGATGAAGAACAAACAATAAAAATATATAATCAAGGACATTCACTGCAGCCTTGCTTGCAATAGTGATAAAGTAGAAGCAATTTCATAGTTTTTATGTTGAAGAATGATTAAACATATTATGGTACATCAATAAAATAGAATGCTATGCAGCCATTAAAAAAGAAAAAAGATAGCTTTACTTGCGCCAAAATAAAAATACACTCATGGCAAATGGTTATGTGCAAAAGTAAGTATGTACAATGTGATTCCATCTTTGTGGGAACAAACAGTAAGTGTACATGTTTGTGTACATGACTGGGGACATTTAGGAATGAGGTCTGAAAGAACACCCACTGATGTGTTAACTAGCATTCACTTCCATTAGCCCTAGTGCTGGAGATGGAATGGGGGGATGGGGGAAAGGATTCTACTTTTTACTTTATACACCGTTGCTTCTATTTCTTTCAATAAGCACTTACTATGTATATAGTTCGGAAGGAAGGTTGGGCAATCCTACTTCCATAGTGATACTGCCTCGGAAACCCAAGGAGGGGTCGCTATGAGTCGG